TTCTCTGGGCCGTCTGCTCGAGGTACATTGAGGGGAATCTTGGTCACATCATAGCAGAGACAGACATGGACAGCCTAGGCAATTCTTCAGCAAGCCTCTAGGCTGGTAAGTCTCGTGGGAGAACAGCTAGCAGGGACACTGAAGGTGGGGCATGGTATCCTGCCTCTTCTGGTGCGTGCCCTTGTATGAAGCAATCTCCCTCCACACTGTGCTGACATGCTCCTAACCACTTCTAATCACTCTGCTGTTCCACCACTGACACTTCACTCCTCTGGGCCTTGTAGGGACCACCATCTTTAAGAGGCTCCGGCTTCAAACGTTAGGAGCAAACACCTAATCAGCACATAATAGAGAGCCAACTAACATCTAAAAACAGAAGCCATCCAGCATCTCAAGGCATTGGGTTGAGGAGATGCTCTGCTTCTCTGGTCATTACCCCTTCCCTCTTCCACCCCTGTGCTTATAGCTTAAGCCACTATGTTCAAACATCAAGACCCTTCTCTTCTGGTTACAGGTGAATGGGCCTGTGGTGGGTGAACCACAGTGAGCCCATTCTGTGGACTTGGACCTGAGGCCACACTGCTTCAGGGCGGCTACCACCATGATAGCTGTGGACAGGAACAACTTTCACGTGGACAGAGACAAGACAGACACACAGACAGACAGAAAAACACAGAGTTTGCTAGTCTTCCAGTCCCTTACTCCAGACATTCCTAAGGCCTGGCTGCACTCATTCATGGCCTCTTGGATTCCACAAAGCCCTGCCGAGTCTGCCTGTTTACACACACAAGCTCTAGTGAGTTTCTGTTACTTTGCAACCAAAATGGTACCAGGAGATGAGAAAGTGATCTAAGGAAGGACAATGGACACACATCAAGATCCTTCTACAACGTTACCGACCTTCCAAGACCACCCCTAACCACCCGGGTCACCAGGGACGGTGAGAGTGGGACTACTGAGAGTTCACTGGGCCGAAAGGAGCCCACCATGCTCTGCAGACTAGTCTCAATCCACAGGTTGTGTTTTATTTGAAGGCTGTCCCCAGTACAGGACTGAAAGACAAGGAACAAACGAAGACAAGCTACCTTGAGAGACTACTGCAGGGAACTGACGTGAGAGTACCTTTCAGAAGGGCCACGAGAGCAGGTTCCAGGTGGGCAATCGCATTCCAGGTGGGCAATCGCCCTCACCCTCAGCATCAAACTACCCCCAGGTGGGCAATGGCATGAGAGCACGTCCCAGGTGGGAAATTATGTTCCAGGTGGGCAATGCCCCTCTCCCTCAGCATCCAAACTGCCCCCTTGATGGGCCATGACAGCATGTTCCAGGTGGGCAATACCCCCCCTCAGCATCATCCCACCCCCAGGTGGGCAATACCCCCAATACTCCCCCCAGCATCAACCCACCCCCAGGTGGGCAACACCCCCTCCTCAGCATCAACCCACCCCCAGGGTGGGCAATACCCCCCGTCAGCATCCAACCTGCACCCAGGTGGGCAATACCCCTCTCCTTCAGCATCAACCCACCCCCAGGTGGGCAATACTCCCCTCAGCATCAACCCACCCCCAGGTGGGAAATGCCACCCCCAGCATCAACCCTGCGCCCAGGCACTGAGACCTTCCACCGCAGCCTCTTTTTTATAGTTACCCTTCTCTGCTCACCGCACAGAGGAATCTTCAGCAACAGTGTGGGTACATCCCCAAAGAAAGAATAAGCACAAGCGCACTGCGCGTATGAGTGTGTGTAGAGAGGGCAAGATGGAAGATTTAAAGACCTTCGGGGCAGGTCATGCCTGAGATGTTTTAACAGGGGAATCCACGCCCCCAAAGGAGAAGCTGATGTTTGGGAGGGAACAGCAGACTCCTTCTGTTGAGCTACTGCTACTCCCTGGAGATGGATGCTGTGAGACTAGTTCACATCTGGTAACAGCTCTGGCCAAAAAAAAGTCTAATTCCCAAAAACACAACTAAGTTGTTGTTTTTTTAAATGCAGGAACTTTTTTTTATGTGAGAGCATGCTGAGCAAATGGTCCCTTGGACTTTACCAAAGACTTCTCTGTTAACACTGTGGTTGACATCTGCTCTTTCCCTCTGTGGCTTCAGCCCCAGATCCCACTGGACACTCAGAAATGTGTCTCCACCTAGTCCTTACCTCATTCCCACAATGCGCCTCTGCTCGAAATGTCCAGGCTCCTACCACACATCCCATGAGATCAAAAGGTCAACAAGAGTTATCATCCTTGAATTGCCAATGCCCCTTCTGGGGCTCTTCATCTGAAAGGGAGCAGCTGGGATGGAGAGGCCCAGCCTCAGGACCTTCGAAGATGCCCAGTGTGATGAAAGGAATTCCTTCATGCAGCCTTTTGCCTTGATCCTTAGCTCCTGAAGGATTCTCCCACCCCAAGCCCTAAGGATTTACTTTTGCCCTAGTTTTCTACCCCATAGTTTGTCACTTTTGTCCAGGTTGATATTTCCTAGGTAAACTACAGGCAATTTGGTTTTAGTACTTTGCTTGGTTTGAGTACTTTCTGTTTAACCCTGCCTGGGCTGCAGCCAGCACTGCTGGTGATTGATATGCACCTTGCAGGAATTGGACAACAGGCTATGCAAATGAAGTATCTGTGGCCTACTATGCAAATGAAGTGCCTACATCCTCCTAACAGGAGATTGGTCAGTTTGTGGCCTTGAGGGAGGACCACGTCTTAAAATTGACAAGGAATTTTTTTAACAGGTTTTTCAGACCAAAAGCAGCAGGAAGAAGAGCATTGAGGAGTAGAGGAAAAGAGAAGAAGAGGTAGCAGCAGGGACAAGGAACTTCCTAAGAAAGCTATGGCTATAATGCTGAAAACAATGAGAGGCCCAGAAGGTGTCCACTGGCATAGCTAGCAGCAACAGACAGGAGGACCACACTCTGTGTGATAAAAAGAACTGAGAGTGCTGTCTTGTCATAAAAAGAGAGACTTTACCTGAATGCTTCTTGATCCTCTTCCTCAGTGGCAATCTGTTGAGTCTTACCGACTTGTTTCATGTTACTTCCTTAAACCACTTTACTCTAAGCATGGTCTGTGCCTTCTCTGTGGTCACCACAACAGACTATTGAAGCCAGAGGAGATGCAGTGCCATGGGTGGGCTGGACGGTCTCATAACTGGTGAAAATGCTTGGACAGTGGAGATATGTCTGACCTCCACCTCATGAGAACCAGCTCTGGGCTGATCCTCCTGAAGCTAAACAGATGCTGATGCTGCTCCTACTTCCATTTCTCACCCGCCAGCCTCTGGGGCAGTATCTCAACAAGAGCCTGCCCTGCAGCACACATCCATTCTAGCTCCACAACCTTTACAGACCTCCCTTCAGAGTTAATGAGGAGAGATCCGCCCTGCAGGTCGGCGTGTCAAGGGGCCAACAGCTCCCAGCTGGGATTCCCCCAACAATGAGCAGTGCTAGAGAAGGCTCTGGGAGGAATGTTCTAGCATTCTGAGCCTAGGTCTCCCAACTCCTGGGAGAAATTGCTGAAAATCAGAGCTGCAGGTACCAGAAATTATTTCCATTTCCTTCTCCCTTCTCCCTGCTCCCTGCCTCACTCTGATTCACTCAGCATCTCTCAGGACCAAGGAGAGCTGGTGGCAGAGGGGCTGGAGATCCTCCCAGATTTCAGAACACGCTGTTTGCAGAACTGCCACAGAACAGTCCTTTCCCCTCCCCTTTTTTTTCTACTAGTTTACAAAATTCGAATACCTTGTTTTCAAGAACAAATTCTTTCAATTTCTCTCACCACCACCCATTAAATTGTACAACCCATGATTAATACCCCCTCCCCCTGCACATCCTCATCCCTCTGCTTCCAACCCCCCCCCCCTTGGATCCTTCTTCTCGTTCTACAGTAATGGTTTTATACAGTATTTATCCTTGTGGGACTGAGTTCACTCAGCATAATGCTCTCCAGTCCCTCCCAAGTTACAGAACAGTCCTTAATGCCAATAGCACACAGGTAAGGATGGTCTTCTGTGCAAAGTCACCTCGAAAGGAGACCAGTCTCAATTTCATGCATCCATGAATGTGTCCAGGAGAATCAAAGACCCAGGGAAGCTGGTGGCTTGGTAGTGTATCAGTCTTCTCCCCCTTGAACCAACCTGCTCACCTTCAGGGGAGGCAAGAAAGTCTAGAGCTCAGGAACAGCAGTTCTAAACTTCTGCTAAAACTCTCTGCATTTCGATCCAGAGATACTTGAATAGCAACTCTGGCTTTGTCTTTGATTGTATGACCTGGGGCAAGTTGCCTACCATCTGTCTGACTTTTCTACTTTGAAAAACAGGTCGCAAAAGTAAAGAGATCACAGGGGTTTCCCTCCCCTGGAATATCTAGAAAGGGCAAATGTGTAGAAATTCAAGTTTACTGGTGGCGAGTAGGGGCAGGATGGAGGGAGACGGGAGTCATTTAGGAAGCAACGAGCTTGGTGAGGGGGATCTGGGGGTTGGCAATGAATACACACTAGGACCCACACAGTGGGGGCCACTGAATTGTGCATGCAGGAAATGCTGACGTGGTACATGGTGTGTTACACATCTAATTACAACCATCTGAAGAACAGGGCTAATGAGACGAGAACAAGGAGTCACTGGAATGACCTGAAGTTTCCTGTATCCTGGTGCTATGTGGTAGCCACTCTAACAAATTATACCAGAGTTGTTACTCCTGACAAGCACCTCCTTATCCCTCCCCCGCTCATTTTCTGGTGGAGTTAACTCCAGCCTCCCATCCTGTCCCATCTGCATGTCTCAACTGTAACCCATGAGGACCTGTCAGACTCAGCACCACCTATGTGTGCCAGGCTGGGGCAATGCTTCCCTCTGGTGCACCCTCCCTTACTCCTCTCTGTGACACTCAACAGCAAAGGCTGTCACACCTCTCCCCATCCTCGACCTGAGGGCTGCCAAACACTCAAGACCCTGAGCAAACATTCGGGAAAGCTTATTTCTCCAAGAGATTTGTGGGGAGAAAACTTGCCAAGTGGGGAAGTTGGGGGTCTGGCTCCTCGGTGGCTCTTCGCCCCCGTGGGGGACTGCTGGGTCCCCCTTTTCCTCATTGTCTGGCTTCCCCTCTCCAGGTTGCTCAGGCAGACGCATCGGCGTTCCAGGGCGCTGGTCTCAGGGCGGTTTGCACGCACATCAAGGGAGCGTCAGTGAAGATACCGAGGTTCTGCAAGGGGTTGAGAGAAACTTACTGCCTGAGCAAGGTGCTGATGGGTCATTTACTCAAAGTCAGTTGCCTGAATAATTCACACCCTCCCTTCTGTGTTTAAACAGCACAATGGCATAAACACAATCCAGGCTCCCGAAATATAATTACAGTTGTGACAGATGTTTAGTTATTAATAAGGCCTCAATGTCACCGGCGGGTATTATACAACAAACCAATAATGCGCCTTTGGAGCCAACCTTAATATTTACAGGTACTTTTCCACTCACCCTCCCCAGGGGTTTGGCTGTAGTAGAGGCAATTCGCAGAGAGCTAGGGCGGCCAGCTTGACTGCAACTTGAAAAGGAAGCCCAGCATCTTGCCAGTATGCTCTGCTCCCCTGTCCTTGCCAACCAGGGAACCAGTGACAAAGTGGAGAAGAGAGTAACAGCCCTGCGGGACAGGAGGGACAGGAGCCGTGCCAGCCCTCCTCAACGTCTGTGCTCGCAACCCAGAGCATGGCACCCTCTCTCCATAAGCAAAGCAGGGCGCACCCAAGAACAATCTCTCCTGATCAGCCCCAGTTCAAACTCTTCCCATACACACAAAACCTCTGGGTCATACCATGCCACCAAGGTGGCATCAAACGTCCCCACTCAGAATGATTAACTTGTCATCACCACTCAGCTGGCGGGTCCCCAGGTGGCGAGGGCTTGGCTGCTAACCAAAAGTTTCTGTGTCTACTCAAAGGCACTGCGGAAGAATGGTCTGGTGATCTACTTTCAAACATATAAGCCATCAGAAACACTATGGTGGTGCAATTACTGTGGAAGGCAGTATGATGCTTTCTCAAAAAGCTAGAAATAGGGGAGCTCTGGTGGCCTAGTGGCAAGGAGCTGCAACTACAATCCCAGAGGCACACGGTTCGAATCCACCAGATGCTCTGCCGGGAAA